ACTTAGGGTGAATGCCATAATTGGCCTAGTTAGACCTATTGGATTGAGCAGTTTCCGTATTATGTCGTCTGAAGAGTCTCTGCATTGGCCGGAAGAAAGGATTTAACGAGTGCAAGCATTATATTAATCATTCTCTACGCAGTCTTTGTGTACTTTCGCAGCCTCCCTGAGAAATTTCAGCGAGGCATCGGAAACTTTTAGAAACTACTGAGACGTGCATGTAACTACATAACCAGAAATTTGGGTTTTTCTGACGAAGTCTGATAGAAGCGACTATATATCTGGGCATTTCGATCCTGTCTGACCTAGCTCATCCTCTCTACTTTGTTTCAGAAGGTGTCTGTCAAAAACCCCGTCATAAACCAAGTCAGTTTTCATTCGGTGCAAGTGTCGAATCGGGGCATATCGAAAGGTAATTCTCATATTCACAATTACATGTCTCATCGACTTACTAAGAAAGAACGTGACTAATAGTATAAACTCTCAGTCGTAGACACTTTATATGTCACCTTCACTCATTCTTTATTAACTTCGTTTTATGTTTATTATGCCATTATAATTGTTCCGTTTTTTGTTTAAGTGCAAATTGCAATTTTTCGCGTCATTTCGGGAATACCTGAGTAAACTGATTTGGTTGTGAAGATCAGAATATCATCTGCAGTCCGCTGGTGACTTAAATAGTGTCAATTTTTCTTGAACCTCTGATTTACCTAGTGGGGTGCGTTGAAAATCCCGTCTAGATCTGTCGTGATTAATTTTGGTGATATTGCATCACCCTCTTAGACGTATTTTTTGATTTCGAACTTGTTCATGCTTTCGTACCAAAAACTAGAATGGAATACTGGCATTTTTAATACATTTATACGCATTTTTGACACTAGCTGTTGGTTTTTTTGAGTATGGTGATGGGGTTTCTGTATTTTTCCTCGATTCCCAGCTTCCTCGAGAAATTCAATGCAGACCGCGTGTGGACGGACTAGAAATACTTCTCGAAATCTACAAACCACAGACAGGGGGGCTGATATGTCTGAATTACTTGTATGCCACCTGAAGATTATCCATCGTTTTAATTCCACTTCTGAATCCTCCGTGCTCCTTTCGTTCCGCAGCGTCTAGGTTTTGTTCAGGGTTGTTCGTCAGTATCTTTATGACGATTTTACAAGTTTATGAATGATTTACAACAAATTGATCGGCATGTAGTTCTTCACATCTTTTTTGTCTCGTTTTTTGTAGAGTAGAATAAATGATGCGGCTGTCAAATTTCGAATTTTCAATTCTGTCAAAGGGCATGTAAACTAAGCGGTAATATCGTGGTCAATGCTCTCTTTTTTGATTCCATGGATGTCAGCTGCTTTTATTTTAAATTGCTCTCTTCCGATCAGTATCCGGTACTCACGACCATATGCGAGGGTAGGTGCATAGACGAGCTTGAAGACAGATAGCGAAGATTATTGCTTAGTTCTCGATCACCACCGATAAGCGCAGTGTCTGCGATACTGCGCTCACATTATCAATTCGAGCAGTAATTATAAAATCTTACCTACTGTCATTTCTAAATGCTATTCAGGAAATGCCAGACTTTTCCGCTTTCACCACTGTTTCTCTTTTAACCTGCGAAGTGCACTCTGTGGTCTTTCTCGAAATTGCATAAGCCTTGTCTTTGAGCAGAATGTTATTTATTCCGGCGAGTAGTATATAGCGGAGAAACAATAAAATGCACGTTGGTAGTTTGCTAAGGAATAAGCGAATATGATATAGTCGTGGGCAAACAAACAGGCGATGATCCAGTCGAACGTCCCCAGCTGCGAAGTTCTCCACGCCTAATTTTCGTTTGCTCACCCATAAATTGAGAATGACGGTTCTAGAGTTTAGAGGGAACAACATATGCTCAGCACGCTATTTGAAAGGTATAGACTTTCTGCTTCTCATCCGGGGACAAATGTCTGAGCTGTCGCACAAAAATTTTTTGATCTTCAGTAGTTGATTGTCCACCCCGTATTCCAACACTCTCCAATGCTTTGCGTGGGGCTTCCTGTCCTTTTCAGTCTGTATAGGTAATAGAAACCTCTTTCATATACTTCTAACATTTTTTACAGAATCTGCCTGATACTGAATACCTTATTCATCCTGCTGCTGTCGTGATGAAAACACGACACTTAACCTGCTTTGCCTGTTTACACTTAACTTATATATATATATAGCACTTCAGCAGATTGATGAGTAGAGAAATGTCCCGGTAATTTCCGTAATTTCACTGGTCGCTTTTCTCAGCACCTGGACAACTACTCAGTACAACTGCTTCGACGCGTCCTAATACTCGATGCGGCGTTTCATTCAGCGTCCACTAGACAGCGCTGTTCCGGATCATGACTTAACGTTTCAGGTCAAATACCATCTTCTTCAGTACTCTTGCCGCATATAAACTGTTGAATCCCTGCTTTAGCGTCTGGTGCTGTTAGGCTATTTTTGTTCCCAATATGCTTCGTGAGTATCGCCATGTTCTACAGGGTATGGGTTTAAGAGATCATCAAAGTAATCTTTCGTTTTTGGAGGACATATTGGAAGAATTTATGTTTCACAGTTCAACAATACATGGTCTTCCTCAGCTTAGGGCAAACCAGTTTAAGCAAAGAAAGGAAATATTACATACATATCCCACGGTAAGAATTAAAACGTTTGAACCAAGGCGTAGAAATAAGAACGCTGCATGAGCTGAACAGCTTGAAACTAAATGACAATGGGAAGTTTCATTTTCCGTTCGGACTGGTGATGATGCGCTTGAACTATGAAAAACTTTTCCTTCCGACTTCCAATGTCTTGACTAATGTTGGCAGGTGAAAGCTATTTTTCCATTTAATAATATTGCCCATCAGGCATCTTGTACGTCTTTTGTTCGTCTTACGTATGAGTCGGGCTCTTGTTTTCTGTAAGTAGACTACGTGATCTAGACATTTCTTCACGCGTTTTAGGGTCAGAAGACATTAGTTCCCAGTCCTTCTACTATCCATTCCTGTTAGCACGATTACGAGAACCTTATTGGCGATCATTTCAAGTTTCATATCAGACTTTCGTAGCTACTTTAGTGAGTCAGGAGTTTTAGCCACTGTGTATTGCCCTGCCGTGTGATCCAGTAGTTTGGTCGTTGCTGATTATCATTAATTTACGTAGAGCTTCTGCCGACAGGTTTTCGCATTGCCCTTCATAGTTTACGCGGAGGGTGCCAACAACAAGGTGTTGATCGGTTGATATATCTATGCCTCTTAAAGTTAGCATTCATCACAGAGTGCCATAAGTCAAACGATGGGATTATCAGATCGATCATCGACTTCTGATGCTCTAATAAGATGTTCATAATAGATAGTCCTTTATTGTTGAGATCGCAAAAGCCGTTCTTTCCATTCACGCCTTTCCGCTTTTTAATGTCTGATCCGACATGCGCGTTAAAATCGCCCGTCAGAATGAGCGTCTCCATAGTCAACACTTCATATAGGGCACACTCCATTCCTTCAAGGAAGGACTTATATTCTCTCTCCAAATTGGGCGCATAGACCTGTAACAAGGTCAACGCTGTAGTGTGCTGTAGCTTCGGTCAGAGGATTGCCATCTTCTGCTGACAGGCTTCCGTTCAATGATTCTGAGCC